CTTTTTGCAGTAATTGACAAGGTCAGCCTAAAATTCATATGGAAATGCATGGGACACAAAGTAGTCAAAAATACTACTGGAGAACAAAATTGGTGGACTCACATTTTCCAATTATAAAAACTACAAAGTTATTATAATCAAGACCTTGTGTTATTGGAATAAGGACAGACATATAGATCAATGGAACATAACTGAATGTCCAGCAATAAACTTTTATATTTATGTTTAACTGATTTTAGACAGGAGTGTGAAGGCAATTTAATGTGGTAAAATAATATTTTCAATAAATGGTCCTGGGACAAATGGACATCACATGCAAAAGAATGAAACTGGACTCATATCACACATACACAAAAAATAATTCAAAATGGATTACAGACCTAAATGTAAAAGCTAATACTCTAAACAAAACTCTTAGAAACAAATATAGAAATCTCATGACTTGAGTTAGGTAATAGCTTCCTAGATATGATACCAAAAAGCACAAGTGACAAATGAAAAAGAGATACATGGGACTTTTGTCACATGTGTCTTTTATATTAGCAGATGATAATAGCCAGTGTGAAGACAATGTGAAGAAAATACAGCTTGGTGCCACATTAGGATGTAAGCTTTCTACTATAATCCTAAAGTCAAGAATAATGCAGGAGGGGGCTCCCCTCGTGGCGCAGTGGTTGAGAGTCCGCCTGCCGATGCAGGGGACATGGGTTCGTGCCCCAGTCTGGGAAGATCCCACATGCTGCGGAGCGGCTGGGCCCATGAGCCGTGGCCACTGGGCCTGCGCATCTGGAGCCTGTGCTCCGCAAAGGGAGAGGCCACAGCAGTGAGAGGCCCGCGTACCGCAAAAAAAAAAAAAAAGAAAAAAAAAAAGAATAATGCAGGATACCTAGTAGGTGCCCAATAAACATTTGTTGAATGATGATGATTGATGGAAATATAAACTGATACAAGTTTGGTGGTGATAATGTGGATATATGTACCAATAATTAAAAAGCACATAACCTTTCCTCACCAATTCCAATTCTAAATATCCAAAAGAAACAACAGAACAAGTCCTCAGAAATGAACATGCCAGTTTATTCACTGCACTTTAATTCACTCGTCGAATACTTATTGTCTGATATGTGCCAAAAAATATATTAATGCTACAAATATAATGTTGAACTATATATCATACTGTTTTCTTCCTTTGAATAATAATATGATTGATGACATACAGATATCTGACTAGATTAAGAAACGACATCTATCCTGGGTTAAAACGTGTGTTAAATTAGTATGTGAAAGATATTTCCCAACATGGCCTTAAAGCATATTGCTTCATAGGAAATTAGGAATAAGATAAGCCAAGAAAAATAACTGATCTTGTTCTAGAAATTCTAAACAAGGTAGTATGATAAGAAAAAAGTGGTAAAAATTATCATTATTAAAATAGAAGAGACAATAATATTTGCAATCTATTGTTTTGTTTTGTTTTTGTTTTTTTGCGGTACGCGGGCCTCTCACTGTTGTGGTCTCTCCCTTTGCGGAGCACAGGCTCCAGACGCGCAGGCTCAGCGGCCATGGCTCACGGGCCTAGCCGCTCTGCAGCATGTGGGATCTTCCCGGACGGGGGCACGAACCCGTGTCCCCTGCATCGGCAGGCAGACTCTCAACCACTGCACCACCAGGGAAGCCCTGCAATCTATTACAGTATTCCTAAAAAAAATCTAAAATAAATTGAAGGATAATTAAAAGTAACTGATGTTTAAAGTAAGATAAACAGTTTTACACCTCATTAACATAATTTATTTTCAAAATATTGATGAGAGCATAAAAATAATAAAACCCAATCATTTACACTGCACAAAACAGCATAGAAAAATTATTTCAAAATATTTCAAACTTTTGCTGAGCAGTATAAAATGCTTTAATAACATAAACGGCATATCTTTTTTCTGAATATGAAGCTCAATTTTATACAGAAACCACTTCTCTCTAAATTTTTTATTAATTTAATGCAACACAAACCAAAATTACCATAGAAGTTTTAGCTATAAACTCAAGAAAAAGATTCTAAAGTTCATCAAGAAAAATGGCCAAGGGGCTTCCCTGGTGGTGCAGTGGTTGAGAATCTGCCTGCCAATGCAGGGGACACGGGTTCGAGCCCTGGTCTGGGAGGTTCCCACGTGTCGCAGAGCAACTGGACCCGTGAGCCACAACTACTGAGCCTGCATGTCTGGAGCTTGTGCTCCGCAGCAAGAGAGGCTGCGACAGTGAGAGGCCCGCGCACCACGATGAAGAGTGGCCCCCACTCACCACAACTAGAGAAAGCCCACGCGCAGAAATGAAGACCCAATATAGCCAAAAATAAATAAATAAATAAATAAATAAAATTTAAAAGAAAAATGGCCAATGGTATTTTAAAAGGAAAAGAATATAGTTATCCTACCAGAGAATTAAAAGAATTTTAATAGTACCAACCAGGCCAAATTGTTAGCAAATAAATCATTACTGTTGTATGGTGGCTTGTTATGCAAGAAGAATCAAAGAATTTTAAGTGCAATTTAAAATTCACCTTTCACCTCTGAGGTTGGCAGAATATTACATACACATACATATATAATGGATGCAACCTAGTTGTACAAAGAAAGACGACAGTAAGCAACATTTTACATTGTTACTAGTGGCTAATACTACTGGTATAACCTTTTTGAAGAGCAATTTGACAACGCATATCAATAGCCTAAAATATGTGCACAGAGTTTGACCCAATTATTCTACTTCTAGGATGATATAATGAACGCCTATAATGTGAAAACAAACAGTTATTTACAAGGATGTTTCTTACAGAATCATTTATAGAGTCAAAAAATGGAAAAACCTTAAGTGTACAGTAAGAAGGATTAGTTTAATAACTATAACATAGTATAGCCATAAAATATTATCCCTAAAAAATTAAATTGCATTTAGAATACTTAATGACACAAAAAGCAATTGATAACATTTAAATTAATACACTCAGGAAAAAAAATGCAGGTTAAAAATGTTCATAAAGTATTATTTCATTATAATTATAGACATAGAAATATAAGTATAGAGATAGAAGGAGAAAAAACAAAGATACCCCAAAATATAAACAGAGGTCATTGTTATGTATTAGGATTTATTTTGTATTCTTTCTTTCTGCTTTTCTAAACTTCCCATTTAATTTTGACAAGAGACTTTAATAATCAGGAGGAGAATATCACTGATATGCAAGATTGAAATATAAGATGATGCTGAGAAAACCTGCAAATCGTTAGGATACGTGGGAGTTGAGTAGGCTTTGAAAGCTATTAAAATACTGTAAAAATTAAAAAGATAAACATCCTCTGAATCTCTTCAAATAACTTGTTAATTATGCTTTTGTCTGAATTAGAAAGACAAGTCACAGATTGTATTATTCAACAAATAATTGTAATACCTTGACAATATTTCATGCACTTCAAAATCCTTTGCTGAAAAGATAAAAGGAAAATGTAAATAATGTGTATTTTGATATTATCTGATAGCCCAAATTAGGCCAAAGGAAACTATTCCTAAAATGACTTTCAAAAAAAGCAAAGATGTTCTCTCTCTTCTGGATAACCCTGCTAAAGAGTATCTATCTAAATGTCACTGGTTCATGAATGTAGATGAATAATTATTACACAGTAAACCTGTAGAAATCAAATATAGTATGGTATACATCTTAATTATTACACACTAAACCTGTAGAAATCAAATATAGTATGGTATACATCTTAATGTTGTATAATACAACTTAATGTTGTAGATAAAATTAAAATTTTTCATTTTCTTTAATATCAGAAGAGTAACCTTTGATATCTCATCCACTATGATTGTCAAAAACTAGAACAGACAAAAGAGTAAACTCTGTAGACATTATCATTCCATGTGAACCATATGTGCACAAAACCCACAAAATACATGCCAGCTAATGTACTGCACCTAAGAAGGCAAAATTAATCTTTAGCATTTTCTTAAATCTGAATGTGTCCTTAAATTTTCTTGACTTTTTCCTCCTGAAAGCTAAATAACAGCTATCATTGTTCCTAAAATAAGATTTTAATCTCAGTAAACCCTGTAGTTTAGTAACATTACTAAAAAATGGATTATTAAAGATGTACTTTGTTAGCATTCAATACACCTTCTTGTTGTGTTTTAATTCCTTTCCTTTAGTTGATTCTATCCTACACCTACTGGGTACAAGGCATCATGCTAGTTATGCTGGAATATAAAAAATGTTTTGACATAAGAGTTTCATACTCTAATTGCCATATAGCAGTTTGATTCTTGTTTGGGAGGATGCAGCGACATGCCTTTCCATATCATAGGTAGCAAGACGCTCTCTCTTTGGCACTTCTATTGCCTTCAAAGCAAAAGCATATCAGAGATTGCCCCTGAAATTTTGCCAGTGGTATCCCTTCCTCCTGGGCACATTCTAGGAAAGGTTTTTTTCTTTGATTTTCTTTGCTTGTTGTTTTTGTTGGTGTTTTTAAATCACCAAACATCGAGGGACACTACCCAAGAACCAGTGTTATAGCAACCCCTCTTAAATCTTCACAGCATGTCTTTGGTGATTTCAGGTGATGATTCTAAGAACATCAAGCATACCCCACTCAAATATAAGTAGAAAGCACATGCTGGCTCAAATATAAGTGATTTTGGGGTTAGCCTCAACTTTCCTCTCCTTCACAACATGTCATATCTTGAATTTTCTAGAGAGCATAACTGAGACCACAAGACCACGAAGGCTCCTTGTGTGTGCCCTCTGCACCTCTTGAGATACACTGCAAGCATGAAGCCAGACAACTCCACGATCATTTTACTGAATTAAAGGGTATACCCAGACATGCTCACAAGTAGAAAAAGACCCACTACAAAAAGAACTTAGGTGATCTTCAATAGCTTCTTAGTTAGGATTATCTTAACTCCACAACTCTCCAGTAATGTGAGTAATAGAAAGCTTAACTTACTTCTTTGGGAGAAAATGCTAGGCCACACTCCAGAGATGTCTCTCTCTCTAACTCCAAGGAATATATGTCAGGAAATGCAGTGTCTGTGAATTCCCCTATAAGAGCAGAAAAAGGACACTTTTTTTTTTTAAGCCAGATACATATCTATGATGCTATTGTTAAATGTGGAAATGAAACTTTGAGAAACCTCATCAAAATGTTCACAACAATCAAAAAACAGTCGCTAAAACATCTGTGCGGGGCTGCATAAGGTTGCTAGGTTAAGGAATCACTCTTAATGCCAAGATGCTAATCAGCAAAACTGGTATCCAAAAATGGAACAAATATATATTCAATCAGCAAAACAGAGAGGATAAACCTATTTTTTAAAATCTCCGAAGTTCAAGAATGATATCACAGTCATATTCAGATGAATATAAAAAGGTATAAAGGTCAAGATCAAATAACTGACTGAATCTTAGGTCTGAGAAAATTGAGACTCCCTCTCCAGTGAAGATGGAACAGGGAGAATCCAGACCTCCTCTGATGCCTTACGGAGTTCACAAAGAAGATAAACACAATTTCGTACAAGAAAACTTTTCAACAAAATGGTATCACTCCAGATACAAAGGCATTGGGTGGAGATACAGAAACAACTGTCAAATAGTAACACAAACTTCAGGGTCAAAAATTATAACCACTTAAATAAACTTCTAAAATAAGTTCCTGAAAGATCAAATGTTAGCTACAATAGAACCTCTGCCCTCATCTAAACAATTCTAAAAATCCTTTTTTCTCCCTGAAGTTTTCTGATTAATCCAAGGAATGATAATAATTTCAATTACCCTGTCTCAAAATAAACTTAAATAACTCATTTCATTCTCCTTCACCCTACTCAATTTCTCTCAACTTGATGTATGATATAAAAACCATTAAACAAATGAAGAAAAAGGATCCATTAAGTGTTTATTAACACAAACATGTTTGTGGTGTGGGAAAAAATACATATATTATACAGCAAAGAATATCCACCTAGAATGGCTATATATCTCGAATACATAAAATATAATAAAAATAGATATTCTTAAGTATATTTGAAGTATATATAAACATATAGATTGTGAAATGCAATAATCCAAGACAGCATCAATAAATATTTCTTGAGCACCTATAATGTGCAGAGAACTATGTCAGACAACTCTAGCAGAAAACAAAAATTGGAACCATAGTCCTTGACCTCATGGAGCTCACAGCGTAGTAAGGGAGACAAACAAGTACAAAGCTCTTTTTGATACAAGGTACAATTTGGTTAGTGCTATAATAAAACTCACCTAATGTCCTAAAGGAGCAAAGGCAAAAAAAATAATTTCAACCGATTGGACAGGGGTATGAATGGGGCTAATGATTCATAGGAATGCAGGAGGTTGATGCTAATTTATAAAAGAGGGTAGAATCTCAGGCAGCAGGGACAGAAGAGGAGGAACTAGCCTAGGAGGAGGGAAGCCCAGTGCCAGAGGAAATGTGTAACACAATCTGGTTGCAGTAGAGACAGCTGATGGAGCCTACAATGGGAGAGGTGACTGGAAAGAAAAGGTGGCATCATAGCTAAACAGATCTCAGTATTTCCTCCCCCTTAAGTCATTCTTGTCCTGAAACGATAATGTGAAAAACCAAGTCTAATTTGTCACAGAAGGACATTTATGTTTTAACATACTCATAATAACAAAATACATTTTCAGGACATTTTAAGTATAAACTTTATTGCAAATTGTTAATAATTGTTAAGATCAACTTATATACATCCTAGACTGTGTCAGCAGCCTGCTGTTGAGAACCACTGCTACTGGTAACAGGAAACCAACAAAGCTTTTCAAGCAGAGGGCAGATGGGATAAGATCTTTGCTTGAAGGAGATCACTCTCTGGTATAGGTATGAGGATAAAGGCTTGGAGGCAAGGAAAGCATTTTAAAAGATGATCCAGTGACCTAGAAGGGAAGCTTGAGCTAGGGCTAAGGCAGAATTGTGGAAAGAAATGCATCTTGCCGAGTAGCTCTGCAGAATAACCAGGAAGAGCCTGTGATTCATTAACAAGGTGCATGAATGCATATGAGGCAGTCAGAGTAAAGTGTTAATGCAACTGAAGTTTCAACATCCAGATTTTCCAAAACAGAATATAAATCTCATATGGATTTCCAACTGCCTACTGTTATGATTCCTGGGCTATTCCACAGTCCCCTCAAACACAGCATGCTTGCCTAGATCTATTCCTTCCCTCACATTATATCAACTATGAATAGTCCCTCCCATCACATACGTCTTAGAGTCAAAAACTGGGAGCGATCCAAGACTTCCCCCTCCTCCTTAATACTGATGTCCGCTTGGTAACCACATCGAGGCATTGCTAATTTCTCAGCACCTCTGTACTCTCCTCCTTCCCGTCCCTGGTATCAATGTCTGAGCTCAGGCTCTCATCACTTCTCACCTGTATGGCCACCATACCTAACTGATCCCCCTGTCTCTGTTTTTGCCCCTCCCATACCCACCTTTTCCCCCAGCCCATTTTCAACTTTGCTCCAAAAGGAAAATTAGTGAAGTGCAAGCCTACTCATACCATTGCCTGGATATCAATCCTTTAATTGTGCTGCCTAACCTCTAGGATAAATGTCCAGAAAAAACTATTAGTTACCTGGGTCTCACTTGCCCCTCTATACTCTAGATAGTCCAAACTACTTGCCACACTGACTCATTTCTAGGCCTTTACTTGCATTCTTTCATATCACCTTCTCTGTTTCTCTCCTTATTTCTTCTAAATTCAGATTTCTCCAAGAAATCTTTCCTGTTGGTGATTCTCAGCTAGTTTCCCTTAGCATATGCTTCCTTAGCACCAGGTACTGACCTGTCTTGTAGCATCCACATGCTATATGGTAATAACCCAATTCTTTTTTGTTTTTTGTTTTTTTTTTTTGCGGTACGTGGGCCTCTCACTGTTGTGGCCTCTCCCGTTGCGGAGCACAGGCTCCAGACGCGCAGGCTCAGCGGCCATGGCTCACGGGCCCAGCCACTCCGCGGCATGTGGGATCTTCCCGGACCGGGGCACGAACCTGTGTCCCCTGCATCGGCAGGCGGACTCTCAACCACTGCGCCACCAGGGAAGCCCCTAACCCAATTCTTTGTCTCTCTCTCCTACTGTTATATAGGTGGTCTCCATTTGTCATTTAGATCCAATAGCCATCTTTCTCTGCTCTCCTCTGTCCTGACCTCTACAGACTGATTTATCTAGGTCCCTTGCTCTTCTGTCTCTGATTTGGTTCAACCACAGGGAAATGTCAGCAAGATATCAGAGAGTACGAGGTATTTATGCCCTCATGTCTTCCCTGCCTTGGCTGCAATTCTGGCAAGGACAGCATTTTTTTTTTTTTTTTTTTTTTTTTTACAGTTATAGCTTTTATTAGATGGCCCCTCTTTCAGAGTTTCACCACTCACAGGGCTTCAATAATATCTTGCCTCCTCTTGCTCCTTCCGGCCTAGAGGTAGAAGCAGCTTCCATCCCTTGTCAGTTTTTTTTAACCTGGCTCCCAGGTCCATACATAATTCCTTCACTAAATCATCTTCAGTTAAATGCTTTGAGTCATTTGTTTACTACTAAGACCCTAACTGATAAACTTACTGTTAACTTTTAGAGAACAAGTAAGATGTCTTATTATCTTTATACATTCAAAGTCTAGTATCTGGCCTATAACTGGTATTCAACAAATATGTACTGAAGAAGAAATGACTAAACCAACGGTTGGCAAACATTTTTCTGTAAGGGTTTATATAGTAAATATTTTAGGCTTTGCAAGCCATAAGGTTTCTGTCACAACTATTCAACCCTGCCATTCATGAAAGCATCCAGAAACAATATACAAACAAATGAGTGTGACTGCGTTCTAATAAAACCTTCTTTATAAAAAAACAGGTGTCAGGCCAAATTTGGCCCACAGACTTTAGTTTGCCAACACCTGGAGTAAACAAATGAAATACTTTATAAAAGTGCATTTTTTTCAAACTTAATTTAACATAAAGATACCTAATATATAGGTAAACAAAGAGAGAGAACTCTCCAAAACATTCACCTGAAATTCTTAAGCAATTAAAACTAGCAATTAATAATTTTATTTTCATTTATAGTATATACTTATGTATAATATACTTAACCTACTATATTATATCAATTAATAAGCACAGTTATATGTCATGCATTATCAAAGTCTTCTGATATATATACATGTATTTCTAGAAATAGAACCATTATGGTTTATAGGATATAAGAAAAATATGGGGGACTTCCGGGAAGATGGCGGAAGAGTAAGACGCGGAGATCACCTTCCTCCCCACAGATACACCAGAAATACATCTACGCGTGGAACAACTCCTACGGAGCACCTACTGAACGCTGGCAGAAGACCTCAGACCTCCCAAAAGGCAAGGAACCCCCCACGTACCTGGTTAGGGCAAAAGAAAAAACTAAACAGAGACAAAAGTATAGGGACGGGTCCTGCACCAGCGGGAGAGAGCTGTGAAGGAGAAAAAGTGTCCACACACTAGGAAGCCCCTTCGCGGGCGGAGACTGCGGGGGGCGGAGGGGGGAAGCTTCGGAGCCGCGGAGGAGAGCACAGCAACAGGGGTGCGGAGGAAAAGCGGACAGATTCCAGCGCAGAGGATCGGGCCGACCGGAAATCACCAGCCGAGAGGCTTGTCTGCTCGCCCACCGGGGCGGGCGGGACTGGGAGCTGAGGCTCCGGCTTTTGTCGGAGCGCCGGGAGAGGACTGAGGTTGGCGGCGTGAACACAGCCTGCAGGGCGTTAGTGCACCGTGGCTAGCCGCAAGAGAGTCCGGGGAAAAGTCTGGACCTGCCGAAGAGGCAAGAGACTTTTACGTCCCTCTTTGTTTCCTGGTGCACGAGGAGAGGGGATTAAGAACACTGCTTGAGAGAGCTCCAGGGACGGGCGCGAGCAGCAGCTAAAAGTGCGGAGCCCAGAGACAGACATGAGACGCTAAGGCCACTGCTACCGCCACCAGGAGGCCTGTGTGCGAACACAGGTCACTAGCCACACGCCCTTCCGGGGAGCCTGTG